CCCTTGTAAAAGTATTTTAAACTGTATAAAAAAAATTGAAATCAATTGTGAAAATCCATTCCTTATATAGGACGTTCCCTCCTGTTGGTTAATTATGGTTCCATCTTTGGATTGATCAAAAAGTTATTATATGTAGTTAGTAGATTGCGTGTGGTCATGTTATTGCAGGTTGATACTGGAAAATATTTCAATGAGATGTTTTGATTTTCTTTTTTGAAGTTTTTTTTTCAATTTGATATTCAAGAGATTACCATCATAACATTACATAATGAAAGATCACTGTGCCACTGTGGCGTCATTCCAAATTAATTATTCAATAAAAAAAACATGTTTAATATTACTAAACCCGCATTTAGTTAGCACTAGTCCTAATGAATTTTCTTATTTTGTTATTTATATTATTGTATTACTTGACTCGGCATTTCTTTGCCCCAAAATAATAAAAATTTCTTCTTTTTAAGAAAATTTTTTTATTTTTTATTCCTTATTACGTTGCCAAGTACCCTTAATCTACACTCATACAAACATCATTACATTAACTCATTACATATATAAATATAAATAAAATGTCTCCAAGTCACAATTCAGAACAAATCATTACAAATAATTTAAAAAGTCCAATCATGAATTCATATATTGTACATGTAGGTGAACAAACCTTTCGTATTTGTCGCCAAACATTAACTTTTGATTCTCCTAATTTTTTCACTCAAGCCTTTCTTGGAGAAAATTCTACTAATAATGTAGAAGGGCAACAACAGCAACAACAACAACAACAACAACAACCACAACAGTCAAATGATTCAGATGGTGGTGAGGTAGTAGCAGCATCTTCATTAGAAAAAAACGAGATTCATCAAAAACCTTTGATTACTGATAACAATAATTCTAGTATTACTACTTCTGCAAAAGCTAATAACAGTAATAAAGCAATTTATAATAATAACAATACATCAGATAATGAAATTGTTCTTGATAGGGATCCTAAATTATTTGAAGTTATTTTGAGATATCTTAGAGGTTATAATATATTTCCACTTTCGTCTGTCAATCTACCACCAGGAATGTCACTTGATTTATTTCGTGAAAGTTTATTAGAAGATGCAAGATTTTACGGATTTGAAAAACTTGCTCAACTGTTACAAGCAGAAACACCTTCACCACTGCGTTACAAAGATCCATTCACCTCGACAGATAAAATTCTTTTATCATTACGTGACGTACCGATTCATAAAGATTTCATTAAATCAAAACTGGAAGACAACGACAATAACTCGACGGTTGAATTTTTTACTGGTGCAGTACTAACTATTGAATTTGATGCTTCGAACAGTAGTTTGTGTTTTAAAACAAAATTCTTAAACGAACAAGATGAAAAAGCTTTAAAAACTTTGGGCGAAATTTGTGGCAAGGATTCAGCAATTGAGTTGACACGGCATTTGAGTACAAGTTGGAATATGAGTGATACATTGAATGGGATACGATTGGAAATTGATGGTGTGCAAGTCACTGGTGTAGATTTAGCGTCACTTGTCGGAGCTCATAATTCTGGAATGAAAGCTTTAGAAGATATGCTTAGATCTTCTGGTGGTGAACGTTTAATAATTTACGCTCAAGAATTTGTTTTCAGATTAGATAATCTAAAAAAACCCAACAAATCTAATAATAACAGCAACAATTGTTATCACGTTAATGGTCATAATGATGACAATAATGGTTGTGGTAGTAGTAGTAGTAGCAGCAGCAGTAATGATGTTGATGTGAATGTGGATTCTGATGTTATTGTGGATTCTGATGTTGTTGAACATGATAATGAAGAGGATAATGTTGAAGAAGTAGAAGATTGTCAGAATAATAATGGTAAAGATGTGATTGTTAGTAATGGTAAAGACAAAAATGTCGAAAGTAAAGGTGATGATGACTGTGATAATAATGATAAGATAAAAGAAAATAAAGCTAGTAGTAGTAGCATTAAACGAAAATCACCACCAAATTATCTTGACAGACAATCCCAATTATTTTTATTCACAGAAATTTGGCGAGGAATGTGGCTTGTTTTAGAAAATTTCTTTAGGCCACCATATACAATTTATTATCCTTATGAAAAAGGACCGTTAAGTCCAAGATTTCGAGGAGAACATGCATTAAGAAGGTGAAGATGATAAAGGGGGATAATATGATGTTGAGATTCGTGCATTTGTATTATCAAACAGTGTATTCACATT